TTTCCATACTGAGTACGGAGACATTGCCTGAGCAAGAGAATCAGTCACGTGGGAAGGGCCGGGCTTAGCATCAACTCTGACGACAGTGAGCAAAACTGTCTCGCAATTATCAAGCCTGCACGGAAAATCAAATCGCGGCAATTAATGAGTCGAAACAAAATCCTATGATTACCTCTCATTAAGGATTCTCGACAGAATCCGAAGAGTCAGGTAGATAAGATTATTGTTCCAATGATCCAGCTCTAATTGCCATTTGAACAAAATGAGGACATGCAAACATGCCGGCCCGTATACAGTCAGTGACTAAACTCATGAATTCTTAAACTAAATCATAAAACGTCCTTTTGATTAAGGAGACTTAGTTAAATGGTACTGCAAAATATAGTATCCTTTGGCATAATTCCAAGGTTATTCACACAAGCCAGTATGTCCACTTTTGAACTCATGTCTTTTAAGACGCCTGCAAAATGCGTATTCGGTATAGCACAGACGTAATAAAAAATCCGTTTTCCATTTTATTTTGGATAAACTTTTTGATTCTAGAATATTTTATATATGTTGTGATCAAAATACCCATGTTGTACGTGCATTAGAACCAGTCGCACCTTCTCCTGAGTGACTAAGCAACGAAAGTGCATATCTTCATTTCAAAAAAGTTTCCTGACGAAGAAATAAGTATGCTGCGCAATGATCAATATTTCAGTTTTGCTTAATAAATCCTTTCTAAATAAAACGAGACTTCAGAATTTGGGTAAAAATTTCATAAGAGCAGTCAGTGACAGTACTTCTCGTACTTTTGTCTATCCCTAAATACTATGGAAAACCTCTTTCTTTTAAAGATACACATTTGAAGGATATACTCTTCGTGACTGGACGCATGAACACTACTGTGCTGAAGATCATGATTACGATGGCAGATGAAACTTCGGCGACGATCCCTCTCTTACCCTCACCACTCCCACCACAATCGGAGCCAATATACGTTAGCTGGTCGGTTGACAATGCCATTGCTACTGCGGGCAAGCAAACAAAAACCCTGTTTCAATGCCTCAACGAATGTCAACGGAAATATTACCAATATCTCGGTTGACCTCCCTCGGGCAATACGCATAATTCTTGCAAT